TACAACTCAATCACAACCCAAATCTCTCAACTCTTACACTTATACAACAATCACTCAAACCTCCCTGTAATCACAATAAGCTAACCCGAAAAACTGAAAGCCTATACCAGAAACACTACTCTGTAATTTCTGCTAACAAGATTCACAAGAATCTAACCTGATTACAATGTTCAAAGAGTAGAAAATAAGAAGACTAAAACCTGTTGTAAAACGCGTGAAAGAAGAAGACGAAGCTGCTGTGCGAATTTTCCAGATTTGCTGCTTTTATACCTTTGACTTAATGAGCTAATAATGGCCGTCAGATCTGAATAGAATCAATGGCTGAGGATTATCACTTAAGCTAACACCAAAACGTCAGCGTTTCACTTAGACACCGTTGAAGATTCACTCAACAGTAATGTATCAAATACTCTTCTTAGAGGTTGTTATTAAAAGATTATCGAAGTAATCTGATTTTTATACCTATTTTGCACTTAATTAAATACCACTTCAGAGTTCAAACATAATTGCCTTCAAATGTCTACCAAATAACAATTACCCAACCCCCCTACATTTGAAAAATTAGCTAAAACACCCCAACCATAAAAAAATTTAAAAATTAACAAAATACTCTTAGCCACCCATGACCATTGACGGCCACCACCACCGTAATGGCGCACGACCGACGGGATCTAGTCGATTGTGCACCAGCAGGGCTATTTCTATTACCGTTTCACAACCAAAGATGTAACCGTGAGATCCATGGTCAAAAATGGCTTTGCCAAGGCATGGTCGGTCATACGCCATTTCGTCGATTGTCGGCAGCGACCAACGATGGTGGCTAGTTGACGACGGTGGCTTGGGGTTGGTGGGGGTGATTTTGCTATAAATTAACTTTTATATGATTAGAGTGTTTTAGCAAAATTTTAAATGTAAAGGGTTAAAAAAATGATTAAAATAATAATAATAATAATAATAATATTATATTAATATTTAAAAAAGAGGGTAATTTAGTAATCTGTATAACATACTCACCAATTTATATTCTCAACTAAACATATAAATATAACATATTTAACAATTTATTCTAACCAACCAAATATATTTATTTAAATATTTATAATAATCTTTAAGTAAAATATCTCATTATTAATATAACATTCCCTATAATAAAATATTATATAATATAAATACACTCGTAGTAATAATTATAATAATTAAAATATTGATATCTAAAGCAATTATAATGTTTGCATTTGTAATCAAAAGAAGTGTCTCACGTAAGAAGACAAGATGAATCAACGGAGACCGCAGCAATTACCAAATAAACAGGCATATGCCTGGTTGGCCCGCTTCTACGCCTTGTAGTCCAAGGTGTAAAATTCCTGGAATCTTCAGCAGTTCAGCGCCCACTTTTCCACGCGTACAAAAATATCTCTGTTCTTATACATTGACTTGTAGTTCTGAATTCAACACCACCACCACCAACAACTACAAGAACCAGTCTTCTCTTTCAATCAAAATCCATTTCACTAACCAAAACAATCATGACCATCAGATAGTGTTCCCACTTCTTCTTCTTTTTTTTTGTGGTTCTCTTTTCATCGTCTTTTATTTTCAGAATCCCTTTTTTAACATGGATTCTGAAGAGTCTGTTCGCCAACTCAGAGGCGTTGTCATCATCACTCTTCCTCCTCCGGATAACCCTTCTTTAGGCAAAACCATCACTGCTTTTACTGTTACTAATGACTCTCCACAGCCCCACCAAACTCCACAAGAAAATGATTTGATTCCACAGGAACAAAACCCAGTTCCTGAACTTCCACTTCAGTCCCCTCCAGTTCAATTCTATATACCAAGACCCCTTTTTGACTCTCCAAGGAAGCTTTTTGGCCTTCTGGGTATCGCTGTTCTGGCTCTTCTTCTCTATAGTTCCGTGTTTTCACACACTGTTCAAGAGCTTCGTAATTCTAAAGAGGATCGTGAGGATAAGAAGACTCTTATTTTCCCTTTGTATCGGAAATCTAGTGTTCCTGAGAATGATATAGAGTTTAAGCTTGGGAGGGCTGTAGCTTCAATTTATGCGGATAAAAAGAATATCAACAAAAAGTCTTTTTCTGCTAATACTGTCGGTGTTGATTCTTCTTCAATTTTCCCTGTTAGGGGCAGCGTTTATCCAGATGGGTATGCTTAAAAGTTTACTGCTTTGTTTAAATGCTGGCTCTATTTTTACGTTAAACTCCACATCTCAATATAATACTTCATCATATGAAATTAACCATACTATTAGCGTGGAAACTCAAGCATACAATAATACCATCAAACCCCCAACACCCCAAACTGTGGTTGCTCGTCAATCGCTGTCCGTCGCCCCCTATTTGTTTCATGTGACAATCGCGATTTTGCAACGATTTGGTGTAGCTCGCGACCTTTTCTCGTTAATTGCAACTTCCTGTTGATTATTGTTGCTATTTTGATTGCTGTTGTGTATAATTACCTAGTCGATGATGAAAAGGCCGTAGAGCAGGGACGGGCGGAGACGAGGAATCCCCTTAGGTGGAGAGGACAGGGAATGGGGTCCCTAGCCCTACCCCGCCCAGTTGCCATCCTTAGTAACAATTAATTGACAGACCAAATATGTATCAACACATTATAAGACAAATTAGGAACTTTGAAATTGTTAATAGTTAGCAGCTTCATACCTCCAACACAAGGATAGATGTATTTATTTTAGCCAAATTAGTCATTACACACACACACACACACACACACACACATATATATATATATATATATATATATGTATAAATTCATGGCGAATCTACCGGATATGAGATGAAAATTGGAAGCGGTTATTTTCTTTACTACTTCAACAACTCTTAAACTATTGGATAGTAATGGATCTATGGTTGAAAATTTAAGTTAAAAAAAAAAATCTCATCCCAAAAAGACCTAAAAACCTTAAATTTAGGGATATTTATGCCTTTTTAAAACATAGTTAAATTTAAAGGGAAAATGTATTTTATGAATTATTTGTCTGATAAGTGTCATTTCTTTGAGTAATAAATGACATGCATTCTTTTTGTTGTTGTTTGTGTGTGTGTTTTATTCGCCAAATGATGATCACATAATTTGAAGTGAGAATTTTTTTAGTAAATTCATGACATTTTAAACATAAATGTGGTAATTAATATAATACGCACTATCTAAATAGCAAGTAACAATCATATTACTATCAAAAGTTAGATCAACCGAAATACCTAATACCGCAATGGAAGTACATAATTAAATATTTATTTCAGGAATAGTTTTATAATAAGTGAAAAACAATGAGAGGGAGCCACGAAGAGAAATGGAGAAAATGGTTGGCCACTTCGTGAGCTTGATCTAAATTCAAAGAAAGAAAAAGACAAAGAATGGCCACTTGTTCCAAATTGATGAATAATCTAATTCTTAATAAATGGGATTGGTCAATTTTGGGGGCTCTACTCTAGTTTTAGTTATTAAAGACTTTTCAAATTTACTTATCATTTTATTTTTGTGCTTTTTCCATTTATTTAAGAAAGTGTGCTTCACCCACCTCTTCTTACAACATATTATTTATTTTTTTAATTGATTTTGTTATTTAATAAGGTCTTGTTAATGTATAAATGTTGAATAGATCTCACTTGTTTCATTTCTTTTTTAATAACTAATTTAAAGAAAAAATTATGTAATTTTAAGGCTTTTTTTTTCTTATATATATATATGTAGAAAATTATGGACCAAATTTAAGCCTTTAAAGGATGTCTATGTTGATTTTGACAGTGTTATAGACATGGGTTTGCCTAATATTTAACAAACCTTAAGAAAGGTCAATAAATTTAGGGGCAATCCTATCTTAACCCAATTAATTATTTATAGTTTCACATACTTCATTCTCATAAATTAACTTAAATTAATTATTTTATATATATAATAATTCTCTTATAAAAACATTTTTACGTAAATTTTGTGAAGAACTGCTTAAATACCATTGAATTCATTTATAAAAAAAAATCATGTCGGTCCAATGATGATAAATCTAATGATAGTTAACACGGTCTTCACAAAATTTAAGTAAGGACGCTATTATCATAGAATTGCTATATATATAACCTGAAATACAGAACTTCTTTGAAGTTTTTATTTTACCATTCAAACTTGAATGAATGTAAAAGGTAAAGGTATGGGGCAAAAGGTGAGCTGTAGGCCCACAGTTCTGGGAATCTGACGTGGGGCTGAGTTGGACGCCAATCATGAGTCATAACCAAGTTGCGGCCCTCATTTTGCGTCTCTTGTTGTCAAAATCACATTTAACTTTATATTAAAATTAAATATAATAATTATATTTATACTTTTTTGCTTCATAACGAGGAAATGAATTAGTATTGGATGCCACCACATTTTGCACCCCATCAATATATTACTCTTAAAGAATATTGGATGAGTCCTTTTTTAAACGGCAATTTAATATTATAATAATATGGTTGATTGATTTTATAACACATGGATAGTTAAATGGGTTTTTTCGAAACCCCATAATTGTCTTCAAAGAGGTTATCGTAAGAGAATTTCTAACTACTACTTACAAACCAATTATATTTAAAACCTGTCAATTTCATAAACAGTTGTTACTAAACTATTAATTAAGTTAAAGATTTTCAAGTTATTTTGTTTTTGTTGACAACGTTGGATTTTCAGCATCATCTATCCTGACGTGATTAGACTTTTGTGTATATCAAAATCTCACTAGTAAATCCAACAGTGTGATGCATTGACCTCATGACGATGTTACAATTGGTAGCATAATAGACTTGTTACAATTTTCATCATTATAAAAATTTGAGATGTTACAATTGGTAGCATAATAGACTTGTTACAATTTTCATCATTATAAAAATTTGAGATGTTACAATTGGTAGCATGATAGACTTGTGATCTGATATATTGACTTGATGACGATGTCGGGTTATAACACAAGTATTTGTTACATTCCACGTTACTAGGAACTAGGGACCTGAGTTTATAGAGCAAGAGTTCAATTTGTAAGGTTTAATTAACTTCTTAAACCTAAATAGACGCCTCCTAGAACTCAAAAGCCAATATATTACTTATTGTTGTGTATAATTTTTCCGTCAAGCTCGGGCTATTGTGAGGATATAGCTCGACCTAGAACTAACTCAGTAACGATGTTTGATCGACCCAGCATAAGCTCGTCGAGCTATAGCTCGATCCAGCAGAAGCTAGTCTCGAATAATCCGAGCAATTATTCAATCAATTCTCGGATTATCTCAGATCGCAGATATTGCGGAAAAGATTAGATCAACAGCAATTTCTGCGCAATACCAACGCCCAATTGCGAGAATATCGAAATTATCTTTCAGATCAATTGTAATTCCTTTGTTTTCGCTCTTTCCTTCCTACAAATCTTGTATATAAACCCCTTCAAATTATGAAAAATGGGTTACAAAATTTTCACAGAATTTACATTGTAAGCTCTCACCGCAAATACAAAACAGTGGACGTAGGCTTTAGAGTTTACCTCGCTAAACCACTTTAAAAACTCTCATTGTCTTTTACTTTATTGCATCTTTATACCTTCATCGCTGATTATCTTTAATCATGCCCACATCAATTCCAATCCCAGCAAGGTCGATCGGAACTGATGAAGGCGAACAGTCACAGCAACCAACCTAATCCAGGCCCAAAATGGTGCACACCAGGTCAAAGACTACCACTGGAAACCTTAAAAATGTGGAAACTACCCACCAGGAAGTGCAATAGGACGTCGTTGGACGCCGATCGCCCGTGCCACCAACTCAACACATCACAAACCATCACGGGGCAGGGACGTCAAACCCCGAGAACGGCTAGCTGGTGGAGATGATCAGAAAAATGGTTGCACAGACGGTGCAACAAAACGTGGCTGAGTTGAGGAACCAGCAATCAACTGCCTAGAATCTCAACCAGCCACACTTTACCAACATCACCCCAACATGTATAAATTCTGCAGGTGAACGATCTGCTTCATCGGCACAAAGAGGTGACCAACACCCCCAACATCGCAAATTGCACTCCTCTCACGGCGTAAATCCTGCTGGCAAACTAACCCTGGAAGACGACCAGGGAAGCAACTGCTAGGGGAAAACGAAGACAATGGACACCCCTAAGACGTACGGCGATATCCCCAGCGTCAATGTGCCGGTATTAACCCACACCCTGGACAAGATCGATCTTCGCATGCTCGCGGGACGAGCCAAGTGCGTCAATTTGGCAATGACCGACATTTCGGTTATACCCAACGTCGTGAGCAACGCACTGACGAGCATGATATCACTTGTCAACCTAGCCATCATGACTCGACCTCGTGCATCAACGTGCACACTAGAGGGACCTCGCAAGTGGAAGATTTGCGAAACTTAGATCGCATGCAGAAAATGCTCGACTATCTGAGAGCCTGCCAAAATGGCATGGTGGAGGAAATAGTATGTTCCCCCTTCACAGAGAAAGTTCGCCAGACCCCTCTTCCATAAGGATTCAGGGTGCCAGAGAGCAAGTTTGACGGAAGAGGGGACCCAGAGACCACCTCGACAATTTCAATGACCTGATGGAGCTATGCCAGGTCTGTGACTTGGCTAAATGTCAGTGCTTCGCAGTCACATTGGTAGGGGATGGTACACTACCAGAGGAGAGAACCGAAGCCAAATCACTTCGCACCAAGGCAACTTGGTATACGTTCATCAATGATAAACTGTACAAGCGCCAGTTTAATGTACCGTTGTTGCGATGTATTGACCATGAGGACGTGAATTATGTTTTGAGGGAGATCCATAAGGGAATTTGTGGAAATCAAGTAGGAGGCAGATCTCTTGCATACAAAGTACTTCGCCAGGGATATTACTGGCCAACAGTTTTCGACGATACAACGAACTATGTTAGCAAATGTGATAGATGTCAGAGATTTACAGATATTCCGCGAGCCCCACCGCAAGAATTGACCACTTTGACAAGCCTTTGGCCATTTGCAATCTAGGGCATCTGTAAGGAAACAGTCCATGTACGCAGCGGAAAAACAAAAACATAATAACACAAGGATCGTTCCCAAAGAGTCAAGATGAAAGGTATAATTTTACAATTTTATCATAATAAGAATCTGCAGAAATTAATCATGAG